CGCTTGAGTGACCCATTGATCAACCAGGATCCAATCTGAAGCCCAGGAAAGCTGACCCGTGTTTGTTCATTGCCTTCAGAGGGCTTCGGTCAGGCAGCTAGGGAGCAACTTGCCCATGCTCAAGGTGGGAAATGGAAGACAGACAAATCCAGTGAGCCGATGGAGCAGAGATTCACCACCAGCAGTGGGCGCTGGAGTGGGTGGTGCTGGGAATGCATGTTCACCTGCACCGAGTACATAGCTAGACACTTAGCCAATTATTGTCAACACTGAACCTCTGCTAGAACTGAAGGGAAGAACAAGAACAAGGGCCTGGGAGCTGGCAAAGGTTAGACAGTATGTGACAGCGCATGCATAATATGGGGTTCAGACCTCCAATGCAGCAGTGTGGGGACAAAGCCCTAGACTGGTGCTTCCTAAGGGTATGTTACTGGGGTAGCAGGTGGACAGAAATAGGAAGCAGAGAGGGTGAGTTGCGGGGAAAGGCCCAGTGCAAATAAGCAGGCCTGTCTTGAAATGTATTGAACATATTTTTCCAGGCTGCACTTCTTGGGCCTGCTCCTGATTGGTGCTGAGCAGCTGCTGAATTCAGGGGAGTTATTGGGGCTCAGTTCAGGCCCATAATGAAAGGTCATTACAGTGAGTTTGCTAGTGGGGTTTTGGGTTGCACATGAACTAACTCGCCCCATGCCATTCACTAGATTAAAGTTCATGGGGGGACTATAATGGGCAGCTCGTATGGTGACCAGATGCCCAGTTTTTAAATGGACAGTCCTGGATTTAAGCACTCTAACGGTTTCCCTACTTTCTTTAAAAAATGGTCCAATTGTCCCGTATTTTCTGTCTCTTCCCTCCCACTAGCACTGGTGGGTCCTGCTGCTGGCCGGATCCTTGCTCTCCAACTGCCCACCCACCAGCGCTGAGTGTGTGTGTGTGGGGGGGTGATCCAGTAGCTGATGGGGAGGGGGGGCAGTGCAAGGCTGGTGCTTGGGCAAAGCTGCAGGGTGGCCTTTGGCCAGCTGACTCTCACCTCGCCCCACGCCCACTTGCTGCGGTGGTTGGTGCATGGGGGCTGGCGGTGACTGGTTACGTGTCGCCTCTGTTGCCCCCTCATCAGCCCTGCACTTGTTTCCCCTCTCGCTGTCCTCTCCCTGCTGTGCCCTTCCCCCACCAGTCCTGCTGGCCTCCATATCCTCCCTCCCCTCCCCTCCCCCACGTGGGTATGTCCTGCTCCCCGCACAGTGGAGAACCAGCTGCTGGTTGGATCGTTCAGCCCATCAACAGCCTGGCTGGCAGGCTCTTTCTTCTCCCCCTCCCCTCGCCTCTGGCTGGGTTGGCACCCAGGGAAAACTCAAGACCCTCTGGCCAGTCAGGAGGAGCCAAGCCCTGCGTGTGCCAAAGCCCCACACAGAGCTGGGATGGGGAGGTTTCTCCACCCCCAGCAGAGCACTGCAGTGGCAGGGAGGAAGCGATTTCCAGCCTGTTTGTGTCCAAACCCTGCAGACACCACAGCAGCCCCCCACACAAGGGCAAAACACCCTCTTCTTACACTGCCCCCTAGGTCCTGTGGGGCTGTTCTGTCCCCTAGATACCCTCCCCTGCTGAGCAGCCTCTCGGGCCAGGTTCCCTGAAGGCCCTGCAGACAGATTCTCTGAGCCCTGGTGCTCAATGCATCCTTAGGGCTTAACCTCTTCCTGCCTGGGCGTTAGCCAGGGGACAGGAGGTGGCTGGGTTATGCTGGTGGCCAGCAGCACAGTTCAACTTGATTGCCATTGAACTTGCTTGAATATGAGTAGTAGCACCTGGTGTCCCGTATTCAGCATAGAGAAATACAGTCACTCTAGCTATTGTGGGCATGCGCAAAGCAGCCCCAGGCATAGAGGCAATTTCTGCAGAGAGAGTGATCTCCAAGCAGCTCTGCCTGGGTCCTTGCTAGGAGACGACGCTATTGTATGTGATATTCTTGAGCCAGATTTGAAAGTAACTAAGGAACACATGGCCGGAGAAATCGTCCCCTCCCCAGTGTGTGTCTGTCTTGGCGCTGGGCTCGGAACAGACACTGCCCGGGTGTTTTGGGAAGGGGCGTGGTGATGGTGGAACAAGAAACAGCCCAAGGTTCTTGCAGCCTTTTGATCCTGATATCCTTGGCTCAGGAGTTCCAGGCATTAAAAATAGCCGCTGAGGAAAAGAGTTCCCTGTGTCCAAGCTTCCAGAAGGAGCTGAGCTTCACCAAGTCCAGCCAGGCTGTGTGTGCCGTGAAAGAGCTGCTGGTGACTGCGTGCAAGAACCAGTGGGACCAGTTGCTGGGCAAAGGGTATGAAGAGCCTGGTTTCCAGGGGATGCAAGAAGGTGTGTATTTGGCAACCATGTGCTAGCCCCTGATCCTGTGGGCGGAGGTGTGTTTAGCTGCCTGGCCTGCCCAAGCAGCACAGAGGCTCTCTAGCCTCCCTGTTTAATTTTTAGAAGTAGCAAATGAGACTCCAGCGTCCCCCAGGGCAGAGCTGTGGAGAGTTCTGGACCCCTCCCGACAGCCTTGGAAATTGTACAACATGCTTGCTGTGCAATTGCATAATCAGCTGCTGCCTTCTGGGCTCAAGCCTCGCTCTGGGGGTTTTATGAAGTTTCCACAACGACTAGAAGGCAACAAACAGGCTTGGTGCTAGGTGTGGCTGGGTGGTTTGGGGAACTCCTCCAAGGAGGCGTCCCATGAAAGGGAGACTTGTCTCCACTGGACATAGGCCAGCCTCTTCATACGGACGAGCACTGTTCCCGGACTCTGTCCTCCCGGGGCAGCTAATGCAGCTCCATTTGAGCTTTTAATGACTGGTTAAAAAAGAAACATCCATGGGACTTTGCAACATTCATGCAGGGTCCTACAACAGATTGCCCTGCTGCAGCTCTGCCAGCCGGCCAACAGGGGGCACTAACAAGCCAGTTCTGCGTCCCTAGGTTGAGGCCAACACACAGCACACACAATACCAGGCAGTCCCTTGTTGGGCCAGGCGTTATGGCCACATGTTCTGCAGGAGGAGACGGGCGTGACCGGGAAACTCCATTTGAGCTTTTAATGACTGGTTAAATGCCCCGGAGTTTGTCATTCTCCTGGAGACCCAGCAGAATCACCCCCTTCCCGGACACGCCCGTCTCCTCCTGCAGAACATGTGGCCATAACGCCCGGCCCAACAAGAGTCTGCCTGGTATTGTGTGTGCTGTGTATTGGCCTCAACCTAGGGATGCAGAACTGGCTTGTTAGTGCCCCCTGTTGGCTGGCTGGCAGTGCTGCAGTAGGGCAAGCTGTTGTTGGACCCTGCATGAATGTTGCAAAGTCCCATGGATGTTTCTTTTTTTGCTCTTTGTTTTGTATGTTGTAAGAGCTGCATTAGCTGCCCCGGGAGGACAGAGTCCGGGAACAGTGCTCGTCCGTATGAAGAGGCTGGCCTATGTCCAGTGGAGACAAGTCTCCCTTTCATGAAGCCTTTTATTCTTCTCCTTGCAGCAGTTGCTGAGCCCCAACCGTTGGACAAGTCAAATAATCCAGCCTGCATGGAGACCCGAGACTATTTCCTGAAATGTAAGCCCCTGACCTTTGCTTTGGCTTCTGTTGCTAAGGCCAGTTTCTGTAGTTCCCCTTTCTGCTCAAAGCACTGATGCCGGGCAGATGCATTTGTCTGTCTGCTTCCTGGCAGGGTCTGGTGCATTGTTGTTGAGATAAATACCATACAGCTAATAAAGGGAGTCCATTTATTAGCTTTAGTCCTTCCAGCTAAAATCTTAAAAACGCAGCCTCTGTGTAGCTCTGCCAAACCCCTCCTGGGAGACCTCGCCAAGATGCTGTTGCACAGAAAGCACTTTCCACTTAATTCAGTCACAAATGAATTTGAGCCTCTGTTTAATTAGCTCGGAACCTCTGGAGCTAAATAACTTGAATTCCAGGCTCTGTTTTGATGCCGTTTGGTGGCTTGAGGCAGGTGGCTAATCCGGTTGCTGAACAGATAAAGTTGCGAAAGCCGGACACAGTTCTGAATCGAAAGACCCCACGGAAAAGCCAGGCTCTCTGAAGAGGGTGACAGTGAAAAGTTGCCTGATGCAGACACTGATTGACATTCAGAGCACTGCAGGGCTTGGCAAATTGCCACACAAAGACCAGCTGTAGAGCCAAAAGGGCTAGAAGGACTCACTCTGAGGGACTGCGCTGGTGGAGCCGTAGCTTGCAGGCAGGGGAGAGGGGCTGAGATGGCATCCCTCCCAGAGAGCTATCTCTCCCGCACACCACCACTGATCTCGGCTTTCTGCCCCCGGCATTATTTTCTGCTCCTCGCACAGCCGTGCGTTCGCTCACAAATCCAAGGGCAATTTTTCCAGGGCCGCTTTGGAGGAGCTGCTGCATCGCTGTGGTGCTTACACTCTCCAGCAGATGGGCCTGTGCAGATCCAGGATGGTTCCAGTCCACAAATGCCTCATTCAGCTGGAAATTCAAGGACCTCCCTGTTCCCCACAACTCCTCCGCATTTGACTAGCCAGCTGGATCTGCTTGGCTTTGTGGAGCTACACTTTGCCTTATTCTTGGAGGTGGGAGGGTGGCCCATGCTCTGTGTCCCAGCTGAGCTCCTGTTTCATAAACACCCATCAACAAGGCTCCAGGCCATAACCCTCCTTGTGACCAGACAGAAATCCTTTGGGATTAGCTATTAACCATCTGGGGTCAATTACTGTTGCTCCACTGTTCAGAGGTAGGAAGCCCGTTGCTTCCGTGTCCCCCCATTCCTCCCTCTGCTCTAGAGGACAAGAGCAGCCATACAAACCTGTTGCTTCTTTCAAAATCAGTATTCATAGTGGGTACTGCTCAGTTTCTCAAGCCAATGGGCATGTGGCCAATGGATTAGGGGCAGGTTTGAGTCTGCAGATCTTTGCAACATTAAGAAACTCCTAATGGATAAATGGACAAATTCAGAGTGCACCTCTTCGCCTCTCTGTTAGACAGAAAGAGCCAGTCTCTTGTGTTGCTTCTGGCCCCGCTAATAATGGGCTGCCATAGTCTGTGTCTAATCACCCTAACACATTCCATCAGAGCAGCATGTGAG